TTCTCTCTTTGCTAGTGTCATTTCAGGCGGCAGGTGTAGTGTCATTTCCATGAGGAGAACAGAGTAACTGTACACATCCATTGCTGGACTGTGTTGTTCAGGATCACGAGCTTCAGGAGCAGCATAAGCAGCATTGCCTGGCATAATAGTACAAGTGGTTTCTTGGAGATCAGCTGTACCATAATCTGTTACTTTAGCTTCATAACCAGCAGGTCCAAAAGGCTTTAACAGTACGTTAGGACTACTGACATCTCTGTGAATAATAGGCTGAGGCTTAAACAGGTGAAGGTAGTTGAGGCCTAAAGCTATATCTTGAGCAATACTGAGAATCTGTTGCTTTGTCAATCAAATCTTCTGAAGCTCCTTATGAAGACTAGTGCTCATGAGCTCAGTCAAGATGAGAGGATTACTCACTTTAGTTGCACCAATAAACTGGACCAGGTTAGGATGACGTACTCGTGATGCTATACTCATTTCCCTGGAGAAGAGAGCTAGATTATAATCTGAGATGATGATAGTATGAAGCGACTTGACAGCTACTCTTAAACCTCTAAAGATACCAACATTAACAGTGGCATAAGACCCTCTTCCTAGCTCTACTCCAGTCACAGTCACCTCATCTTTATCAATGACCCAGTGATCATCAGTAAGTACTTGCTGCTGGTATATATGAACTGCATCACGGGATTTTTGTAATTCTCTATCCTTCTCCTGTAGCTCTCTATTCTTCTCTTGTATCTCCCTTTTTGTCTGTTGTAACTCCAATTTCGTCTGTTGTAACTCCTGGTAACAATTTGCTTTCTGTATTTCTCTGGTAACTAATAGATACAACATAAAAAATTTAGGCTATAAAAGTACAAACAAAAGATTATATTAATTTGGTAATGCAAATTTTTCCAAAGATTCTGTAAAAATTAAAAGCTTATTAGCATGCATGATGCAATTTCTGCAAAAGCTTTTATCCATTTCATCACAAATGGGTAACTTTGGTTAGTAAAAATACTATAAATTAAAAATAAATGTACTTTTTCCTATGACTTCATCATAATATACTACTCACTCTTTCCTTACTCACTTGCTCTTGTTATTCGTGTTGCTTTACAGTTGGCATAATGATCAACAACTACATACACATCATGTCCCTCTCTGTAAATATCATGAGTTGCTATGCCCTGGGGTTCTCCATTAACTAGAAAATGCAGGACCCCCTCTGACGTTATTATGATACCCAGTCTGTCTCCTTCTTCCAGGTCGTCTAGCGATACCTTGCCATAAGCAGTCTCAGTCATAGTAGTGACATTATTGTGGAGCTTTTTAGTACTCCATACACAGTGATTATGACATTCTGGAGTATAACGAGGGATCTTTAAACGATCAAGTTTCTTGTTGGATTTGTGTAACATTATGCCTAATTTCAAGTTCCCAGACCAAGGGGCCCCATGTGATATCACCTCAACCTCAAATTCAACACGGCTTTTGACTGGTCTCTCAGAATACACCACACCCTTTGCATAAAATTCCTCAGGATAAAGTTTCTTTGCCTCTGTCCCATTATCTGCTATACACATTTGATCAGAGTGATAGTCCCTTATAAAATATTAAACAATATCTGTGCTGAATGGAGACTTACTTATGATATCCAAAACAGACCAGAGGTGGCAACTCATATTCTTCGCTTGAATTTTCCTTCTTGGAAGACATTTAAAAGTAGCTACAATTAATCCTTCCTAGTATCATACAAGCAAAAATCACTATATAAAAAGGGCAGAAGTATACATTGATTCTAGCAAGAGTAGATGTTACTCTTGATTCTAACACTTCAAAACTTTCTATATAATGTGGCCAAACACATAACTGACCAAAGCAGACAGGTACTTTAATTTTCATGCAGTTGCATATCAATTTTTTAGTAATAGTAGTAGTACTCTAAGCACTTTTGATCTTGTTTTATTGGCATGTAGCTTTATTGATGTGACATGTCACCCTCCTTTTGAGTAAAGTTATACATTCTTAGGCTTACATTTGACGAAGCTGTCAAAAGTGCACTGTCAATCTGACTTTTTGATGCAAAAAGCTTTGAAGTTTACACAAAATTGGCCAAATTTAAATATTGCACTCGTCTGCATTGCATTTTGTGGCAAATGTAAACCAGGCTTTGGTTTTAGTGTCTTTCTTTGTTTGCTTAAATCATACATGTATTTTTGGTATTTCATTGCATCCAGGCCTACTTGTCAGGCCTTTTATGCAAATCATACTTAATTGTCACCTTTTTGTATGGGTTCATTTTAAAAATCTTTTTATGATCAAAACAATGCCCTTGCACCCTCAATATTAGCATTTACTTAGGCCTTTGTCTATACTAATCCGTTTTCACACATAAATGATAACTTTTTAATTCTAATATAGCTTATGTTCACACTAAAGCAGGCTGTAGAAACAAAAGGGAGCATGCATTCAATGAGTCAAATTGGAAAAATTCCATTCTGCTGCATTGATGCATACTCCCTTTATACAGCACTTCCGGTCGTGATGCTAGCATACACGTCATATTCAGAACCCAGCTTTAGCATAAACACCTGAAATGAATAATAGCAAAAAACAATCTTGATTTAGTGAAGTAGATTTTAAAATGGGGCCTTTGTATAATAATAATAATATAAAAAGGACTCAATGAACTGACAGAATACATAAATGCCATACAAACAGTCTACCTGTGTCAGTTTACACGAGTTTCAACTTTCAAGCGACCAGAGCGGACCAGAGTCTTTACAGGTCAGGGTTTTGTCAAGGCTGTATAGGCTGGGGGATGGTCGAGACTAGAGATTTTTAGGCAACAAATGAGCCGTGCCCAACGAAGTAGATCTAATTAACTAGTAAAAACCTTGAACTCATGACTGCTGAAAACTGATAGTGGAGCATAAGTAGCTAGCAAGCACAATAGCAGGAATAATAGGGGGCTAGTAGGGGCTTGACATGGGTGGAGTTGAGGTTAAAGGTTTTATTTTATTGAACTAATTTGAGCTGCTGCTGCATACTAGTGCACAGCTGTGATGTATTATGTATGAAGTACATTTACAAAGCAGTGTATATATTGAAGAAAAAAAAAGATTTAGGACGGCTACAAAAATCAAAAGTGAAAGCAAGAAATGAGAAGGATGGATAAGAAAGGGAATAGAAGAGACTGAGAGAAATTACAAATAAAGAATGGAAGAGAAGAGTTGAAATAGATCTGAGTAGAAAACAAGTTACAGTGCAGTTATAATAGGTAAAACAATAAAACGTATGCTACACTCAGTAGTACACTAAAAACATTACATGATACTTTAAAAGGAAGCAGTACAAGAGAAGAGTGGTAGTGAAGAGAAAGGCAGGACAAATAAAAAAGTTTGGAAGAGAATTTGGAAAAAGTAAAACTATACTAAAGGCAACAAAAGGCAGCAGAGTAATTAAAATAAAAGGTAAATTAAATTACAATAATAAATCAGATCTTTATTGCTTTCAATGACTCTATTACTTGGGCCATAGTAGGACGAGCTCTAGCATTAAGTCCTCTTTGTACGAGAGACTTCATGGGAGGCCAAGAGATAGTACCAGCTTGTTGTTCTCTCTTTGCTAGTGTCATTTCAGGCGGCAGGTGTAGTGTCATTTCCATAAGGAGAACAGAGTAACTGTAGACATCCATTGCTGGACTATGTCGTTCAGGATCACGAGCTTCAGGAGCAGCATAAGCAGCATTGCCTGGCATAATAGTAGAAGTGGTTTCTTGGAGATTAGCTGTACCATAATCTGATACTTTAGCTTCATAACCAGCAGGCCCAAAAGGTTTTTACAATACGTTAGGACTGCTGACATCTCTGT